CTGCCAAGGCACAATGCCTGTGGCAGGGAAGGGGCAAGCCCAGCCCATTGCTCAAAGTGGTAGGAAACGGAAGAACAGAGCAAGCTGTCCTGGGGACCCTGGCTCCTCATCCCCTTCACTGATCCCACACAGTTGCCGCAGCAAGGAGAGCAGCCTTTGCCGGCAGCAGGACTACACATGAGCAGGACGAGCACCCCATGACTGCCCCCTGAGCAGGGCTCTAATAACAGCCCATCCTCTGCCAGCCCAGCCCAGCAGCACCCAGCCAGCGCTGCCTTTGAAGTCTGGGCTTTCAGAGACCACCACCAGGCTGTTCCTAACTGCCCTTTGTGAGAGCGGGGAGGGATTGGAGCCAGGAGGGGGCAGGCGAGGGGGGCAGCAGGGCTGCTGCAGGGGGGGAAGCTGGGGTACCACTGATGGGGGGCTCAGCACGTGGCATCACCCTGGGCTGATTGGTCTCCGTGGGTCTGCAGATGGAGGTGGAATCTAATGCATGAGAAAGAATTCAACCTGAGTCTTGTTTGATGGGATTGTAATTCACTGGCAAAATAAATCAGATGCACCCTGGCTACTGGCTAGGTATTAAAAGGATGGATGATGAAGAACATTGAATGCTAAAAGCGAGGCTGCATGGACACAGTTTGGACAAGTGGCTTCAGCAACAATACTGATGCTTGCATGAAATCAAGTTTCATATAGAGCCCTAAGACCTTAATACGGCCATCAAATACAAGCATTCCCACCGAGGCCATGCCTCGGCTCCAAGGTGGAAGAACTTGTGTCAAAGCAGGATCTGGCCAAGGACAAACCTCAACTTCTCGTCACCTCTTCAGGCAATGCTCCTTTGAAAACGCCGTCCCTCCAGCCTGCGCTTCTGGCATCCCTCCTTCATCACAGGAACTGGTGAGCAAAGCCAAGCTCCAGATGAGCAAGGCCCCTCCTGAGCCCCCCCTGCAGCATGCCCACATACACCAACCAAGGCTCTCCAACCCCAGAGGCTTCCAACATTGCATAAAGGCAAACACCCCCACCTTGGTCACTGCCCCATGCTCCAACATTCCCTAGCTCCCAGGGGATACATGGCCAGGGGAAGCTGTGCAAGGCACAAAGCTCTGGGGATTGGATCAGTCATCTCTGAGGTGTGGGCAGCTCTCCTGCTCTTCAACCACAGAATGACATTCCCCTCCCTGCTGGCTGTCACTGACCAACCCTGCAGGGAGCCATGCGCTGACCAGAGCGGTGGAGGACGATGGGGATGCTGGTGAAGCAGCACACCCAGGGAGGAGCCTGTGCGAACGTGTCCCAGGGCAGGCTCGGCGAGGGAACCACATTCACCTCACGCTGTCCTGCCAGCCCCGCTTTGGGTTCAACCTGCTAAATTGTTCTGGCCTGGTAAAAACCGGTTCTGGGCAAAACACCCAACGGGGCTGTGGGCGAGAGCCTCCACGGGCCGGGCCCAGCGCTCAGGCGCGTGGGTGCCCCCCGGCATGCTGCATCCTGCATCACTGTGCTTTGAACCCACCTCCTGCATCACTGCACAGCCCCACAGGCGTGGCTGCATTCGCCTTCACCCACAGCCTGGCAGCAATGAACCCACCCTCATGGGCAACCCCTGCAGCTCCCCTGGACAGAGAGACCCGGCTCCTTTAGAGCTGTGACAGCAGCACAGAGCCTCTTCCACCACTGCCTGACTCCTGCATCTCTGCATCACAGAAACCCAGAATGGTTTGTGTTGGAAAGGACCTTAAAGCTCATCCAGTTCCAACCCCCTGCCATGGGCAGGGACACCTTCCACTAGACCAGGTTGCTCCAAGCCCCATCCAACCTGGCCTTGAACACTGCCAGGGATGGGGCAGCCACAGCTTCTCTGTGCAACCTGTGCCAGTGCCTCAGCACCCTCACAGGGGAGAACTTCCTAATATCTAATGTAAATCTCCCCTCTGTCAGCCCAAAGCCATTCCCCCTTGTCCTGTCACTACAGGCCCTTGTAAAAAGTCCCTCTCCAGATTCCCTGTAGGCCCCTTTAGGCACTGGAAGCTGCTCTAAGGTGTCTCCGGAGCCTTCTCTTCTCCAGGCTGAACAAGCCCAGCTCTCTCAGCCTGTCTCCATAGCAGAGGTGCTCCAGCCCTTACAGCATCTTCACGGCCTCCTCTGGACTCACTCGAGCACCTCCACATCCCTCTTGTGCTGGGGACCCCAGAGCTGGACACAGGACTGCAGGGGGGCTCTCACAAGAGTGGATTAAAGGGGAAGAATCCCCTCCCTTGACCTGCTGGTCATGTTTCTTGCCTTTGGCCTTGCTGAGCTACATGAGGTCCAACCTCTGCAGCCTGTCCAGGTCACTCTGGATGGCATCCCTGCCCTGCAGCATGGCAACCACACCGCACAGCTCAGTGCTGTTGGCACACTTGCTGATGTTGAATACACTGAAGCGTCCCCAGAGAACCGTGCCCTGGCAAGGCAGTGCTGGCTGGTGCCCCACACATGGAGGAAGGGGACTTGGCCCAGGACTTGGCTCATCTCCCCTCACACCCTTCAGCAATGACATGACTAGACAGACCCACCGGCAAATCGCTCTTGAGCTCACGCACGTACTGCTAACACTGGTAGCTACCCTGTAATAACCCACTGTCCCTATCATTACCATTAATTATATATTAACATACCCCATAATCTTAACAGCTGCTCAGTTGCATCTCGGGGGGTGTGAGCTGCTTTCAGAAGCCACCTGGCTCCTTCTCCTCTGGCTCTTCCAGCCACTCATCCTGGAGAGGAGCTTGCAGCTGGGACAGGACTCGGATCCAGCAGGCAGCCATGAGATCAGGCCTGGGATGGGCAGGAAGGTCACCAGGGCTGGAGTCATAGGGAAGGCACCGATGTCCTGGCTGCCCCGTGCTCCAAGGGACAGCACCGAGCACATTATGCAGGATCACCAAGCATTAAGCTTGATCAATTCCCCACCAGTGCTGAGTTGCATCCCCACAGCACTAGGGAGCCATGCACCCTGATCTGTGACCCCAGTAGTGCTTTCAATGCATGTGGCACTGGGTGGGACCTGGCTGCATGAGAAGAGACACCCCACTGGGGCTGGTGCAGGGGTTCAGCCACTGTTCAGACAGCACATCCCAACCAGACACTACAGGAGTTCTCCAGACTCATGTACCACCCCAAGCATCCCCCCCGCAGGCAGCAAGACCCCCAGCATCCCTCACCTCACACTCCTCCTCCCAGCTTGCTGAAGGGAAAAGTGATTTTCTTTTTCCACCAAGCCAGGGAAAGCTGAGAGAAGCAACACAGGGGAGGCAACCACAAAGCTGCTGCCCCTTTCTGGAGCTACCTCCTAGAAGCTGCGCCAATCCCACATCCGAGACCATCCCAGAATCAGCAGCACAGCTGGCACTGAGGATGAACACACAGGTCTGTGCTGGCAGAAGTGGTGTTTCTCTTTTTGATTCTCATAGGGGTAAAACACACACAGCATCCTCACAAAGACACAACCTCAGGGAGAAAAGCAAGGATCTTCTAGACAGAGCTTTCACCATTTCATCTCGAAGGCAACACATTGCCTTCCATTCATGATGCAGCTCCATCCAAAAAGCAAGCTGGAAAGCAGCCTGGGGCTGGCTCTGCCCCGAAGCTGCAGCTGTTTCATGTGGCTCCAACGCCTCTCGCCCTGCAGCTCGCTCTTTCAAAGAGCCGCCTGCATGTACACAGGCACACAAAACACAGTTAATGAATGCCTCGCGTCCCGCTGTGTGTGTTCTGACACAGCCCCGCTTGCCAAGGGAAAGAACTGTGTGGATGTATGTGCATACAAAGGCTTTAAAGAGGACGTTCCTGGCATTTCTCAGCTTTGTTGCAGGGGTTTGGGTTTTTTTAATATAAAAGCCTCAAGCAAATATAATCCAGAAGAAGGGATTTTTAGAAACCTTGGATACTTTACCTGCATGTGCAACACCTGAGAGCCACGGCACTCCCCAAGGAACCTGCTTTACAGTAACTGTTTCAGACTGAAAAAAAGGCATTGCTCAGGAGAACATTGCTACTGGCTGGTATTACACGCACTGCCAATGTCAGTGCTCTTTCACAAGGGGAGAGGATTAAGCCTTTCAGGGATCACAGCTCAAGACGGCAGCTTCACATGCTGTAACTGCTCTCAGATGTTTCACAGTTGTAGTAAGCTGCCTGCACAGTGAAAGCCTCCTGGTGCACAGCACGGGCATGAAGTTGGGCAGGATGAACCCTGTGCTCAAGGATTCAGGTTATTATGGAATAATGAGGATGAAACTTTATTTCTGTCCTGTGAGTCAAACAAACCAGGAATCTAACACACTGACCATGGTGTCATGTTTAAGCCTTTCAATGAACACAAACACCCACTCCCGGTTCCAGCTATGAAAACAGCCATCATCCAGGACAGTTCTCGCCTCAACAAGGCAAGTTTTACCTCTCTGAGGTGGACATCTGCTTACCTTTTGTCACCTGCAAGACTGCCCATATGTATGTTCCCTGGGTGGCTTAAAACACCCAAGTTACCAAGCCCACTGATGCCAGTCACTGAAAAATAAACTACTTTATTTGTAAGCAGCAGAGGTTTGGGGACTATGGAAATTCTCAGCAGGAACTGACATTTTTCCTCAAATGTGAGAGCTCATATCAGCAAAGTTTCAATGACGTATTAAATTTCATGGCTCACCTCTTGCCATAACCAGACCTTCCTAGGCCAGATACGTGGATCATAGCAACATCTTTATAAGAAGCAAACTACACCACATCTGCCAGCTGTCAGGTTTCTATAGTCTTCTTTGAATTATGAAGTCATTGCCATCATTAGAGAAGAGACACTTGCCTGGAAAGCCCAAGCCACTGTGTCAACTCTTCCACTCCTCTAAACCATCCCGTGTTTTTAACTGCGTTAGAATAAACTCTCCACCTCTTTGGACCGAGTCAGAATTGGTTACCCATAAAAACACCCACTGCAACATATTTGCATACATCTATGAAAGGAGAAAATATAATCACTTTATTTTCAGTATACAGACTAAATCCCACCATAAAATAATGAGAGAGCACATGTGAATAGAATACTCTGCACTTAAGAAAGCCCACATCTGCCATATCTGTGGAACCCATCGTTTGCTGTGTGGTGCTCACAGCTCTCCAGCACCACTTCCAAAAGCAGCTGCAGTACTCCCAGGAGCAATACTCCATCCACTACAATTCAAACAATGGTTGCATAGAAGTGCTACATTTTCCTGTATACCTTGAAATACTAGTTAGGTACAACACTATTTCATCACTTCTGCTCCCAAACTATGTCAAGTCCCCCTCCCACCCTTACACCAAAGCAAGAATTACTTCTACAAGGAGGTAAAATCAGCAAGTTGTGGCAATACAAACTTCAGAGGTGCAGAACGATGGCATACTGTGATCTGCAGCATGTGAACATGCAGCACAGACTGCAAGGCATAAATACTGACGAGTTGCACCCAGGTGCAAACACACGATCGCCTCTGTAAAGCTCTCTCTATGGTGGACTCCTTCCATGTCACACACACCAGTGGGGTGTGCTACTGCTTGTAGTAAATTGAAGAAGAATTGGACCTACATAATAAATTCACTTGCAAAGCACAGAAGTCACCAGTGGCCTCTAAGCATCTCTACAAACTGATCCTCGCAGCTGGATTTTTGCTGCATGCTCCACACCAGTGGTCGGCTACAATATTCTGCAGTTCAAAGCCTGCATCTCCCATCCTCTAGCAAACACTATCGGTGTCTTCTCTGACTCATATTTAAATGCACACTGCAGGCAGCATAAAGCAGTATTACAGTTAATTTTTATAAAATTCATCACCTTCATCTCCATTGAACTTAAGAACAGGTGACCTGGGCTGTAATGGCAAAGGCCAGTAGTGCCTTATCCTCTCAACACCCAAATGTCAACAGAAGAGGAGCTGACATTGCAGATATTATTATATGTCCAGCGGAGCAGACACATTCTCACTGGATTTTCAGGCTGCCAATGACCTACCTTGCCCATGGTGACCAAAAGTGTTTAAGAATCCAGACTTCATATCTTGCACCTCTAATTGAATGCAAAGTTTACAACTGAGTGCTTTTAAGGAGTAATAAAGCAGCTCTTGGGATTTCTTTCCAAGCAGACACTGACTCAAAGGGTCAATACAAACTCACAGTGTTACAGGGGACTCCCAGTCAGTCACTGACAACTCCCTAAATCTTCTCTTACAGTTACATGCTGCACAATCACTTTCTTTCCAAATACATCCTGACTATAACCTTGTTTTATAGCCTCTCTTCCTAACTATACTCTTCATGTAAGTTCTGACTGCAAATGCTGTCCTTAACAAGTATCATAAAATTGCCTGATCATTTCCTGTCTACTGGTGCTCCAGATGCAATGCTACCTATAAAAACATACAACTAATTCTTCCAGCAAGTGATTCAAACCAGCACTGTTCTCAAACAGCAGGTTGGCAAAGGTGGGCTGCAGATTGCGAAGTCTCCAAGCTTACCATATCATAAAGTGAGGTAGCAACAAGCAGCCTTTGAAATAGCATTGTCTCTATATTTTCCCCTAGTATTAAATTCCTCTTGCATACAATGCAGTGTGTGAACCAGAGGCTTCTCTGGAGCAGTGGAAGAAGAAAAGAGATGGTAAATAAATAACAAATGATAAGAAGAATTAGGCCGATAGCTTTGCAAAGTTTTTCTTTTTGGTTCCAGCACTGAGCACTGCTCATTTTCAGGTGGAGAGGAATACAAAACACTTCAGTCTCTTTGTGAGCTTAAAGTCCAAGTGACTTCTGCACAATCTGCTTGGCAATTTTGTTAAACTGTTCTCTGTCTTCCCGCCACATCTTGGAGGCATCTACATTGGCTCCACTTTCATCATTTGGCTCTGAAACGAGAAAGACTGAAAGGTAGGTGGACAGGCAGGCAACGGAGCAAGAGCCTCTCGCTTCTTCAATAATGCCTCTGTACTGCCACTTCCCTGTGGCTCTGACATGCTTCCCCTGCTTGGGACTAAAGAAACACCACTAGAAAGAAAATCCAGTGACAGCCACTGGACTCCCAAATGGTTCTGACCGAACTGATCACAAGAGAACATCACAGCAAGGTCGAGTTTAGGTAAAGACAAGTGGCAGAGGAGCAGTACTTTCTTCTGTTTATGCTCTTGGCAGCTGAGCCCCAGCATGCACATGGAACACCACAATGAGGCACTACCAGTGCTGTCAAGGCGGTGTAAAACTGCATGCTGCTCCCTGCAAAATGTCTCTTTCTGGTTTTGCAGCTTCACAGACACAAAGCCCTCCCGACCAGGCCACCCAAACAGGCTCCGTCACGCTTTGGAATAGCTTGTTCTATTAAAAAACAACAAAACAGACCAAGAAAACCCATAAAATGCTTTCATTTCTGTAACATCTTTCAGTCAAGGATTTCAGGGTATTTTACAAAATACATTAAACCCCCATGACTCCAACACTTAATTTTGTACAGAGGTAAGCTGCAACGTGGGATTCATTAGGCTCATGGTCAGCATGCAAGTGGGACAACTGTCGACAGGATTACACAAATCACTAAGATGGAACATGCTCTACCCACTTTGCTTCACACACTAGTCCAAATCCACTCCAACCTAGTTAATAGCAGACATCTTGGGCTCTTATCTTTCTTGATTCAATCACAGAATCCCAGTCTCATTTTGGTCAGAAGGGACCTTAAAGCTCATCCAGTTCCAACCCCCTGCCATGGGCAGGGACACCTTCCACTAGAGCAGGTTGCTCCAAGGCCCGCCCAGCCTGGCCTTGAGCACTGCCAGGGATGAGGCAGCCACAGCTTCTCTGGGCACCCTGTGCCAGTGCCTCAGCACCTCCATAGTTAAGAGACACAGTGGGCAATGCTGATGGCCTGCCCTTGAAAGACAGTACATGTCTAAAATCTTTTATCATTCAAAACTCATTCTGAGGGACACATCTCTGTTCTTTTTAGGCAGTTCAGTGGGTCTGCCCACTATGTGGAAACAGATGCATCTTTCAGGGAGCTCTACACAACAGAGCTGAACCACAGCCCTGGCTGGATTTAGGGAAAGCAATTTAAGAGGCTGTACAAGAAGTTTTTTTACCCCGCTCCTCTTCTGAAGAAGCCTTTCTCTGAACCACAGATGGCAGAATGGGGTACATGAGAAATAACAAACAGAAATGGAGTGTGCTGTCTTGTACAGCTGATCTCCCACGAACTCTAGTTAGAGCTGGAGTTAAGAGCTGGCTCAACCAGCTTCTAAAGCCAAATCCAGCATGGGCTGTAATCAATACCCTTACGGCCTGCAAGAGTTGAATGGACTTCATAGACAAATACAAAGATGAAGCCCAGGTTCTGTGCAGGAGCAGGCAACCTGGGGAGCCTCTGGACCGACATGACCATCACAATCTGCTCCGCTTCTGCTGAGCAGCTTTAAATGCCCTTTGCTCACTTTAAAAACATCAAACAGCAAGAAGCAGCCCTAGCTAACTCAGTAACTGCTATCTGAGCTACTGCTTAATAAGACAGCAGTCCTTACCTGCCAGCATGCTAACAACTGACAAGAGGATCTTTTCCACACTCTGCACGGGACTCCACCGCTCAGCACTGCTTTCATATCCCATGGGATCATCCCCAGGAGCATGAAGAATAGAGATGCAAACTCTCCCATCTGGGTAAACTGCACAAGAAGTAAAGGAGATTGATTGTTACTCAGTGGAAATACTTGACCTCTCCAGATCTTTAGCAGAGATTAATATTTGGACTTGGCCTTCCTATGACTGAAGCTAAGCCTCTTCCAAAGGCAAGAAGACACAAAGTCTGAAAGAAATCCAGCAAAAATCTCCTTTAAGTAAATCTGACAAACTTGAGTCATCCTTCCCCAGCAGAAGCCTGCTGGGAGCACTTTTGTCATTTAATAACCAGTGACAGGACCCATGGAAAAAATAAGAGATGCAGCCTGATGGAACAAGGCAAGTATTTCTGCATACACACAGTTTCAAGTAGGTAACCAGTCCTCTTTAAATCAAAGGACAACAGTCACAGAGCACTGAATGCATGTTGGAGTCCTTCACAAGATTGAGCCTGGAAAAAGAATTAAGCAAACCAGCTCTGCTGCAGCAAGGAGGAAAACTGGTATGTTATGAGCAACATAATTGATCCTATTTTGAACATTATGGAGGTGCAACCAGAATAGTTCAGACTACTGCTTTTAATTTTGCTTAACGCTCAGAAGGATTAAATTGCCTGGAAACAAGGTAACCTATCAATTAAGGATACAGCCATCTTCCCCTCCCACCTTTAGCGCAAGCAAAGCATCTGCAACAAGTCATCTTCAGAGACACTGGGCTCCACTGACTTGATAATGAGGGCAAGGAAAGCTTGAAGAGGCAACACAGAGAGAATGGAGTTTGAAACACTCTTTTAGCAACATGGCCTAAAGCTGCAGCCTCTCAAGGAAGAACAACTTCAGCCCAGTACTTTCAGTGCTTCCATTCCTCGTGTGACCAACCTGTGCCACTGCCAGGAAAACAAGACAAAACAAAAAGAGGGAATAACCGCTGGAAGCAGTTGTGCTCATTTCCAGTTCTTTCCATTCGCTCAGCTAATGTCTGCACAAGCCTGCAACATGTAAGCACTTTGGAAGACTTTTATTTACGTCCCCTCCTGCAGCCCCAGGCTGGGGACTAGAGCTGGTCTAGCCATAGCTGGAAGAGGTGGAAACAGCATGTGCTGAATCAGCACTTCTCCTTGCAAGTTAAAAACACACTGGTAGAAGGTATTTCACTTGTAAGTTACTCTAATGTTTTTATGAAGAACCTCATTTAAAACAGCTGGACTATAGCAGTACAGTCAAGACAGCAAAAGTCGATTCCTCTGATGTACTCGCCTTCTCACTTTGTCAGTAACCGCTCATGCAAGACTTGCTATTAATTACTACTTGAAGTTATCTTCACCAGAACATCCACGAACATCATTTTAAGATAGTTCTGTGGTGTCTCAGTTCTCCATGTACATAACACAAACTGCAAAGATAAGGGAACACAACAGACTTCTTAAACATTATCCTTGCAATTCCTTAGAGGTGGAGGATTAAGCACTTAAGCCACCCAATTTCTACAGCCTGTAGAAACACACCATCACAACCCCGCCTGAGAAGCACAATTCTAGAGTCTACTTTTGGTGATCTCAATTTTAGATTAACATCACCCAGAATCACAAGACTTTAAAAAGCTATGCTGACCATCCAGTTACCATTCCAGTAAACCCCAATAAGGAAGCGCTCACACGTAACACATGAGAGGCAGTTTGTGCCTCTCCACAAGCCACTCCTCCCTCCTATGCTGCACACAAAGCAGCTGCCAGCAGCAAACCTCAAGCCAAGGCCAAAACTGGAGCTGCAGAGTACTGTGTGGACATGGATTTTCTCAGGGAGACCAGTCCTGCCAAGAAGTTTGGGTGAATGAGTCCAGCTGGAGCAAGGTGCCAATGCAGCCACACTGCTTCCAGGTGCCAAACTTTGCACTGCTGCAGACATCAGAGCTTCAGAGGTGATGCTATATTGCCTTGGTCATGTCCACACAGTTCTACACTGTGATATGCAAGTGTGTCTTTCATAGGAGAACAGAAAGATGTGGACTAAATGGGCAAGGATCTGCATCAGTGGTATGTACTCTGAGGAGGGAAGAACAGAACTTCAAGAGATTGCAAAACTCCTTGGAATAGGATGAAATAAATTGATTTCCAGCTGAGATTAAGATTTGTGTTATGCAAGTGCAGTAATGTCAGCTGGGAAGGAAACACTAGGCAGGAAGGCAGCATTTTTGTTTTATTGCTCTCAAGTGGCAGATGCCTAATAGCCTAGAATATAGATCCAGTCCCTTCAATTACTTCCACTGAAAAGTCTTAAGATAATCTTGTCACCATGAAAATTGCAGAGAAAAGGCCAGCAAAGCCTTAATATTAAATACCTGCAAACATGTCATTGGCTTGAACACAGCACTCTGTGTGTACCATCAGAAATACTGCTAAACCTGAGAGAGAATCACCCTTGGTAAGGATGCCAGCCCTCCTCCTGCAAAAGTCAGGTTTTAAGGTGCACAAGCAACCCACTTCCCCACATGTCCTGCTGCATCAGACTTACTGTTTGGATGGAACATCTCACATGTGAACCTCATCTTCGGAGGACTTAATGGGTAGTCGAGTGGGAAGCTCAGAACAGCAGGGAACACCCCATACTCGAAACAGGTGTCTTCTGGACCCCTAGAGACAGATAAAAGGCTATTCACCAGAGTTTTAAATACTTCTTCACCCAAGTTATTGTCTAATGAGACGTGAGGTTTGGGCCATATCAATCTCCCTCAGAAAACAAAGAGTTAACACACTCTTACACCCCACCTCATAAACTTAAATCCAAATACGGGGCTTGGGAGGGAAGGGGGAAATCAAAGCTTGCACACTAAATTACTAGGAAGGTCACAACACTGCTTAATTAGCAGGGTGTGTCTGGATAAAATTGGAGTATCTGGCTCCAAGGCATGTTCCAGGATTTGAGCATCTGCACGTCAAGAGAATGCAGAGGCAGGTGTGGGACTCCTGTGCCTTTGAAGATACTGTTATGCTGCACAAGACAAAGATGGCAAATGCTATAGCTCAAAAATAATTCACAAAACCCACGGAGATTCAAGCTGCCAGTTTCGAGCACAACCACCCATCAACACTTATCACTGACTGATGAACACACCCCACAACAATGCTTTATGAAAATACAAACAAAGCTCAGGGACCGTAATTGCTAGATGCAGGACAGCAATGTCTCTTTGCAGACATGAAGTACTTAGTTTGCACACCCTTAAGTGCACGCAGAGAACAAATGGCTTCATCGGGGTTCCTGTAGAAACATTTCCTTGTGTTCACCATCTAGTTCAAAGTGCAATGAAGTTGAGAATATAAAGACAAGTATTTCACCCTCCCTAAGCAAAACGTTTTTGGAAAGTGAGCAAAAAATTTTCTTAGCCATGATTTATTAAAACTTGATGCACCATGTGGAAGTTATAACACAAACATGATCTCCCTTGATTGGAAAGTACAAAACAAGCTTCACCACTTGAAAATCTTAGCCAAGAAGACCTTATGTATTCAGTAAAAAGCTTTTCAAATGAGGGTTATACTGTCTGGGAAATAAGGTTTAGGAATATATTAATGCTGCCTCCTCTCACAATGCACACTCTCCATGCCAGAAAGAACATGAACGTTCAAGGACTCCTAACAGCTAAGACTGCAAGTGCTAACCTACAGAAGAAGAAAACTGAGCCCAGCCAAACCTAAAGCCCTAGAAGGCTCACTCTCCTGAACTTTGGAATCCAAAAGACTTAGCCGATAGATAAACACGAGAATGCCATGATTTAACCCTGAGCATTAACACTGGCAGGTAAGATTAGAGGAATGCATCAACATACAGCAAGAATGAAAGCTTAACCAGCTCAACCATTCTGATCCCCTTCTGGCCTTTTCCCTAATTTGGTCAGGATCTAATTCACATCTGAATGCATTTTTTCATGAACATTTTAATTCCAGCTGCATTTTAAAGGCTTATTGTTGAACTTCTGAGAGTATGTACATACACCCATTGAAAAGCTGGTGGGTGTTTCATGTTCTGTTTTGAGAGCAAACATACAGCCTCAAGGGCTCTTCTGTCAAATATATGAACCCAACATGCTCCATTTTAGGACCTGCATTCTGTGAACAAAATGTTTTTGTTTTAGCCATTCAGCGCTGCCAGGATCAACTTCAAAGAAATGATTAAAGCTGATCCAAGACAGCATTTGCAACTACAGAACACTCAGGCCACAGCATTCAAACTTGACAGCATCACTTTCAGTTCAAAAAGGACATTGTCAGGGTCAGAGAAGTAATGAGCAAAGCACCTTTTGCAATCACACCACCTGCCCTGCGAAGATTTCAAAGCACATGGACATGGACAGTGGGATTGAGTGCACCCTCAGCAAGTTTGCCAGCTGTGTGATGTAGTTGACACGCTGCAGGGCAGGGAAGCCATTCAGAGGAAACTGAACAGGCTGGAGAGGTGGGCCTGGTCAAACCTCATGAAGCTCAACAAGGCCAAGTGCAAAGTCCTGCACCTCAGTCGGGGCAACCCTAAACACAAATACAGGATGACTTGCCAGACAACCAAGCTGCTTAGTTGTGTGAGAGATACGACAAACAACTCTGCTGACATAAGACACAGCATGAAAATAAGAAACTCTGAACTCCACAAGCTGGCTGACTTAGGCAAGGGGAAGAAAAGGATGGTTGGTGTATCTGCCAAAATACGAGGGAAAAGCGCGTTGACAAGGACAATTAATTCTGTAATCACAGTTTCACGTACATTGTAAATGGTTTCTTATTTGTAAAAAGATGCTGGGAAAAGACCAAAACCCACCAAAACCAGATGCTGAAAAGGGGAATTCCATGCTAAACAAACTCATAATTACATATCTAATTACCTTTTATAGACAGGTTTTTGGTAAGTTGACTTCGATTTATCCTGTTTAGTTTTCAAACAATCTTGAGGCTAATAAAGGTCTTAATAATTATGTGAGGTTTGTGTCTTTTGGGGATAAACGTTAATAGCATACACCTGTACATGCCAACCAAAGAGGCCAAAACTTGGTCTTGAAATGCTGAAGTCATAAACTTGCACAACATGGTGCAACGCTACAGAAATGACTGTTATGATGGTAAACTCTCTTGACATGCTGGGGCTATTTCTCATCATAAGTCACCCTGCTGCAAAGATCTGGCTTTCACATACTCTAATTCACCATCTGTGTGATGTCTTATCAAAAGGGTGTATTCCATGCCAGGCTCCAAACCTCCACTGTTCAGAAAGTTCATACTGTATTTCCAGTTCTAGATCCATTACACTCACTTTGAGAGCATAAGAACTGTTCCATCATTCAGACATGTCAATCAGCCTTAACATGCATATGTTTGATATTTCTCCAGCACTGCTACTACAGGCAAGAACACCAGAAATACAAATTATTATTACTATTATTTTAAACACCATTATTCTACCCCTGAGCCAAACCCTTCCAATAATACATGCAAGATCACCTAGCCCATCTCTGAAGTGATAAATGGGCAATGCCTTTTCGCTCTTAAGTCTCTTTCTTATTCAGTTGCCATTACATGTGCTCTAGGCTTACATAAATTGGGTGAAAGGAAAAAAATAGAAGTATTCTCTTCATTACTACACCACTTGCCTTTCACGCTTCATTTGTCTAAAAGTTTGAAGGCAGCTTTACTTCATTTCCTCACCCTTGCTTCTTTCATTCCCCGAATCACACACAGCACATTTGAGATTACAAAACATTAGAGAAGATAATCACAGACAAACAAACAAGCCATTTAGCTTGCTTTCCAAATGTATGCAAACATTTCTACTACTAGAGTTGTGTAAAAAGATGAAAGTAACCAAACATGTTTAGGGTAAACATGTTTCTATTGTACCACAGCTTCAGAATTTAGCAGATCTTAAAATATAATTTAATATGACACACACAATACAGAAACCAAAATGAAAGTGCCTCCGCCTCTCACTTTGCGCTGACAAAGGCCTGAAGCTCAACACTCAGCACTTTAAAGGGCTTTCAAGTCTGCAAGCAGCTCCTCTGTTGTTTAAGAATTTATTATGGGAAACATAAGAAAAAGTATTTTCTAGGTAATGAAACAAATGCAAAAGTACTTCTGTGTGTCCCCCATGAAAGCTCTACTTAACCACATAGTCTGTGCTAGGAGAAGGTACCAACAGGCAGGAATTTCCTTACATATCCCAAGAATTTCATTAAATCCTCTGGGATTTCTAAACTCTAAGCAATGCACAGCTGTCTGAGCTCAAATTTGGTACATTACAAAACACATATCTCAGAAGAGACATCCCACTTGCAGAAAGAAAAAGCATAAGACCCTGCAGCCAAACTCTTAGGTAATTTGTTGCCTGACACCAGTTTCCATGCCAGGTGTTTATTTTCAGGGGACTAAGCTCCCAGGAAGTACAATCTGTTTATTACAGAATAAATTGCTGTACATAAGCAGAGGCATTTGCCAACTCCTCATATCAATCAGCAAACAAGCAGTGGTAATCCAAACCTCCATTTACCAGACCTAAAATAACTCAGAGGCTCTTACTTGCCATAAAGGAGGATCACCCACGCAGCCAGCTTGTGTGGAATAGGTGATGTGCTACAGCTCAGGAAGCTTTTGTATTGGTTGTGTGCCTGACCCCAAGACACAGAAATCTTGTTTTTCATCCCAAGACAACATGCTCCAAGCTAATAGAGGAGATAGGCAAATTCTGCCACCCACACTAGTTGAGAATCTCATAAGTCAGCACTGGTGGCTGCACTGAAAACCTGCTAAGAGCACAGCAGGGATGCTGTGAGCAGGGGCTCCTTAGCACTGGCTGGGGGAAAGGAAATCACCAACTCTTACTAAAGGAGTCATGAAATACAGAGCCTGGATCTACCCTAACAACAGACCATCAGCTTCAATACAGACTAGCTGTTTAGAGCATCTTCACCTTTTAATTGTGTAGTATTTGTGTAATATGCCAGAGCCAAGTTACAAAGGTCTCTTTTCTTCTCCCCTACTGTTCTTGAACCTTATTGTGTAAAGATCATAAGTTAGTACATGTACCCAAATTTTCCAAAGAAGGGTACAGCATGAGTAAAAGAATATGAACAAGAGAGAAAACAATTTTTAAGATGCTGGACAAGAAGATTTTATCTTTTCACGGCAAGTTCTGCTATGAGCAACTGTACCCATCAGTTTGGGAGTGGAAGCAGAGAACACAGATTTGTAAAGTCTTTGTCACCTTCCAAACCACAAACAGTAGTGATCAGAGGTGTTCACCAAGAAGAGAGCTTTCTACACAGAACCACTGCACTCAATGTCTTTACATGACCAGACAATTCATGAAGTGTAAAATTCAAGATTATTTTTTTTTAGTTGACCTGCTTTCTCAGCCCAACCCCATTCCACTTTTCTGGAAAAAAGCAACTGAAGAGCAAGTGAACTCATTTTAGACATTGATTTTTTTCTTCTCCTACCCCAGATAATCTGTGTATTTTGCTCCACTTAAAGCATGAGAAAACCACAGCCTGGATTTGCAGCCCAGTAATGTTCCCAGCATTCCTTAGTAATGCTCCCTGTGTGAACTACAAACAATTCATTGTTTCCTACAGTGTTCATATATGCAACATATATCCAAGGGAGCCCGAATGACGATTCCTGTCAAGTTTGCAAGTTACTTATGCTTTAGGTACGGTTACCCCAACCCTTGCAGTGCTCAAGGCCAGGTTGGACGGGGCTTGGAGCAACCTGGTCTAGTGGAAGGTGTCCCTGCCCGTGGCAGCGGGTTGGAACTGGATGAGCTTTATGGTCTCTTCCAACCCAAACCATTCTGTGATTCTATGTTGCTTATTATCATGACACCGGTACAACAAATGATCACTTGAGTTCCAATGCTGCCTCTGTCACACTCTTTAAATTCCAAATATAATTCCCTGTTCAGGTCTGAAAAGAAATTCCCAAAGGCCAAGACTGATGTTATGCACAACTGGTATTTTTTTTATATACTTGTTCTCCTAGAAACTAATCACAGCGTGCAAGTGCTGATTTTGGATACAAAACTGTATTAACTCACATAATCAGAGCTTCCCATTCAAAGAAGTTCTCTTCATTCACAGGACCTATGAAATAAAAAGAAAACAATGCTTAGTGCTACCTCAACACAAAGCTACAACTTCACCATGCACAAACCCTGCTCAGCTCCTCACCTGCTACAATCCCCTCGGGTGGGTTCAGGGTCAGCTCTGTGAAAACAAAACACAAGGAAGGTTAACATGACCTGCAAAACCAAGCGTTTTGGCTAGCATTTGGGTGGCCAAAGCTTAGCACAGAAGCCCCACCAGCAAACACCCTTCGAGAAAACCTTGAGGACACCGCTGGGCAAAACTTCCCATTAAGAAGGCCCAGAATCTACTGCTTACAATGTAACTTCTTCATGCAATGGTTTTCTAGGCAAAATTGTCTTTTCATGCTTTTCAGGCTCCTAAAACTCCTGTCTTCCCAGGGGCAACAATTTAAAACCGAGAAGGAAGAAAAAAATGTCCTTCTACAAAGCATTTGGATCACTGTAGTATCTGCAGGTACAAACTCAACAGCCTCAAGACAATACAGGCTGTAACCCTGCAACCTCACTACACCAATTCAGACCTGACAGCATCTCAACACTAGAACCCAAAACAATACAAAGTTGGAGAAGGCGAAGCAAGAGAGATTCAACAAGCAGCTCTCTTCCTTGAATTCAATCCAGCTCCCCCTGCGTGGCCTGGAATAGGTGAATCAAAACCAAAGCAGCAATAAGGCAGCCATGGCTGCACACAGCAAGTGTGAATCCATCAATCCTCATTTTCTGTAGGACACCAGTACAATTCCCAATTCATGCTATAATCTTCAGCATCAGTACCTCATTTCAAACCTGCTGAAGCCCAGCCCCCTGTGTGCTGATAAAATAATAACCCCTTTTTCTACTATTCAATGCAGTGACCATCAGCTGCTGGTTTCCAAGGTCCTGCAGAGTGGTAAGCAGCTGGCAAGGTGAAGTTCAATCATGCACACGCACCCAGTGGACCTGCAGTCCCTGGTGGGACTCAACACCAGCCCCACAGCTCCAAGCAAGACGCAGGGCAGCTGGCAGGACTGGTGGCAGGAGGTGACACCGTGACAGTGTCAGACTGGAGGAGGTGACAGTAATAAGGACAAATGTTTTGCTGACCTAGAATGGTGTTTCCTACCTGATGGCCTGTGGACAACTAGTAGCCTGTAACACATAAAACACAGCCACAGGAAACACCATATGCATTCCCATGCATGAAAACAATCAGGAACATGGACCCAGGGAATATGGGAAGTCCCAAAGAGATAAAAGAGGCACTTGACCCGATTTCCATGAGGCTGTATGTCAAACTGTGGGTAGTGATGCACAAAACAGCACACGAAAGTTTGTCTTAAAATAGCTAAGTTACTGTTGGATTCAAAACCATGCTGAGATACACTGCCATGAAAGATAGCAAAAGTCTTGTTCATTGAGAATTCTATTAACTTTGGCACAGACCTCTCCAACTGAAGTTCAAAAACACAGCAAGCAGACTGAAACTCAGCATTACGGTTTCCCACTACATCCTGGTGTTAAGGAGCAGGCTTTTCCCACTTGAGAGTGGGTCTCTAACAGCTTTTCTTGCTGATGTTTTTAGACAGAAAGAGGGAGATGGCAACCCCAGGAACTCCTGGAATCACTTTGCTCCATCTTGTGGCTCCCTCTAATAAGAAAATTCCTCTGATTTCCCATGATTTCCTTTTACCAGTGACCAAAGTGCTAAAGAGGTTTCCATCCTCAAGGATCAGGCAAAGTGGTAAACTGGGCAGTGCAGGGGCGCATGAGCTTTGATTCTGAGTGGCTGCTACTATACCTGGTCACTGAGGAAGGAACAAACTCCCTTTCCACATGGATGGTCACATCCTACTCTGTGATTTCTCTAGAACTGTTCAAAGGGAAAATGGGAGCAGAGTTTACAGGAAACATGGATCCTCAAAGTACACCAGCTACTTGAGAGAGATGACTTGCACAAAGTGAGAGCCACGAGCCACCTCCCTCAATCCCCTTTCTCTGACGGGCAAGACCAGCAGAAAGACTTTACAGGAGCCCTGGATACAGCAGCTCCTGACCCATGGCTGACTGGTGACCGTGGGTCTAGGAAAAAACCTCCAAGGAGTGGAACCTTGTGATCTGTGGGACAACTGAGGTGGAAGCGGATCTGTCAGACACAGAGGGGCCCTCCTGCCACACTGTCACCAAAGCTCTATCACGTTCACCTGGAGCTGTGGGACCCCATGTCTGTTCTTGTGGGGAACTCCCTGCTCAGACACGTGTTGGGTGCATGTTGGAGGAGCCCATGGTGGTGCAGCACACACCACCTGATTCACAGCAATGTCGCTCTTCAGCACTGGAGAGCATTTGGAGAGGTTTCCACCTTCACATCCTACACAAGGCATCCTGTTTGGCTTGCAGGGGAATTTTGCTGCATGCAGTCAGGGAATTTGCTTCAAAATGGAAACACAATGAAGTCCTAACTTGTAGCACCAGGGCTAAACCTTACTTTGAAGCTTTGCTTGTAAGCTGATACTGAATGCAACAGAACTGACACTACTGAAGTGCGATGCTTCTATTAGGAACATGGGGCAGATTTAGCGCACACAATCAACACCTCCCTTTTAATTTCACTGCTCATTAGGGAGTCATTAGAGGCAAATTACACCTAAGCCAAAAAGAAAAGAACTAAAACAAACCCTCTTGTTAAAGCAGTTAATAAAAAGATGGATCACATTCTTAACAGAGAAGTTCAGCAGTATGGTGTCTAAAAACTGTATCAATTTAGCATATCCCCAAGATGACTAGACACACAAGACCTGGGAAATACTAAGGACACATACTCGCTTCAGTGTCTGACAGCAGCTGAAGTGAAGATGCTTGAACCCAGAATCTTGTTCTTATAAATCTGCCTCAAATTCTGTTTTATTTTCTCTTCTCTGTTGTAGCATCCAATTGGCACAAGGCAGTTTGAGCTCACATTGACACATGGCACCGTGTGTGCCTGAGGTATTTCCTGTTATGCTCAGGAAAGAGCATTTTCAAAGCAGGTTTAACAGGGACAGCTGCAGAGACCTACTGCAAATGTTCAACCATCTTCCCCCTGGAGAGAGCAGCTCATCACAACCCACACCAGTGCAGCAGCTTCTTGTATTCTTTCCAAGCAATAAGGAAAGGAAGCACCCACTTCAGTGAAGCACTGTCACATCATGTTCTGTACAATAAAGGGGTATTTTTAATGTGAATTCTGAAATCTCAGAACTAACATAATTCACAAACAAAATCTCTCAGTTCACTATAAATGCTATCCTGGGAAACTACATGGAGAAGATTCACTTCATGTCTGCCTCTAACATTACATCAAATTCTTTTTGATGCTGCTTTACATCACTTTTTCCTAAAGAATTCATTCATACGAGACTTTCTATTAAGATCTCACAGCTTCTCAACAATAAAAGATCAAACCTTGATTTTGGGACTAAGGGGACTTATTTAAAAGAACAGATAAAAGCAGAGGCGAGTATTTTTGCAGCTTTCAAGTCCATGCTTCTGGATTACAACAGAAAAATGCAGGCTTCAACCAAACACTGTCAGCACCAGCTTCACCTGCATAACTGCATGGTGGGGTTTGCTCCCTACCCCCAGGAGCTACCAGCAGCACCCAGGCAGCAGGGCCCAGGCCAGCCCCATCCTGGCGAATGCCTGAATGATGGGTCAGGTTAGAGACCTGTGCTCTGCAGAGCAGCTGAGAATAAACACTATCCTGGCAGGAAATGTGCCCATCAATCATAGAATAGTTAGGGTTGGAAATGACCTTAGTTCCAACCCCCCTGCCATGGGCAGGGATACCTCACACTAAACCATCTGACCCAAGGCTCTATCCAACCTGGCCTTGAACACTGCCAGGGATGGAGCATTCACAACCTCCCTGGGTAACCCATTCCAGTGCCTCACCACCGTAACAGGAAAGAACTTCTTCCTTATATCCAATCTAAACTTCCCCTGTTTAAGTTTTAACCCGTTACCCCTTGTCCTATTACTACAGTCCCTAATGAATACTCTGTTTTATACAGGCTGGAGTCTTCCACTAACTGATGGCAAAATAAGAAACAACTCCTCATCCCTGGGCAACCTTGGGACCTCTGAAATGACATTCACCACAGCAGGAAGCCAGTTCATAGAATCATTACAGAACCACAGAATGGTTTGGGTTGGAAGGGGCACCTTCCACTAGACCAGGCTGCTTCAAGCCCAGTCCAACCTGGCCTTGAACACTGCCAGGGATGGGGCAGCCACAGCTTCTCTGGGCAACCTGTGCCAGGGCCTCAGCACCCTCACAGGGAAGGACTTTTCCCTAATATCTAATCTAAATCTCCTCTCTGTCAGCCCAAAGCCATTCCCCCTTGTCCTGTCACTACAGTCCCCTGTAAAAAGTCCCTCTCCAGATTTCTTGTAGGCACTTCCTACAGCCCAATGCCATCCTTCCCCTACCAAACACTTTATTTTTTTTCTCCATTCTACTTTCTTGCCTTCAATAAAAGCTACATCACAGGACAAAGGCAACTGGGTAAACAAAAAGGGAAAATAATATCTCCTGCCAAAAAAGCCACCTCTGGACACCTCACAAACTCACTGGGGAGCAGATAATCCCCCCCAGAAGAAAAAGGATGTCCCCAGAGGATCCAGCCACCGCTCACCAATACCTGCAAGTCACATCTCATGCAGCTTTCTAAACAAAAAAGTCTGACACTGACCACTAAATTTAAGTTTAAAATCTGCTATTAACTGCTGCGCTTCCACTAAGAGCTAGACAAACGCCTCAAATTAAGGCCACAAAGCTCTGCAACAGAGACTTCTGTGGCTGCTGTTTGTTCCTCCTGGAAAACTTCACCCGGAAAAGCCCAAAAAGAATGGGACAGGGGGGAAAGCAGATGCGAAACACGCACACACAGCGCTCGGTGTCCCAGCAGAGGCAGCCGCCTGCTGCAACGGCGGAAGGAGAGCAACCCGGCAGCGGGAAGCGGTGCCGCCCGTGCCTCTCTCTTCCACAGCCGCACTCCAACCACCTTGGTGCGCCCTAACCTCCTGCCTCGGGTGTCGCTGCGGGCCCAGCGCCGGCTGGAACACCGCGGCGCACAGGGAGGGAGGCCTGCGGCCTACCCCGCCACCGCCCATGCGCGGCCCGCGTCCCTCCTAGGCTTTAAGAAGGATCCCGTAAGGAGGGGCAGCGCGAACCTCAAGGGGTGCCGGCCCCTGCCCTCACTTACGCTTGTACTCGGCCATCAACCGCTTCAGCGCCGTCCCCGCCATGGCGCGGCCCCGCCGCTGCCACCGCCGTTTCCGGGAGGCCGGCTAGAAAGGACGGTTTGAGACTGATCGGCTGCCCGCTCCTCCTCTATGGTACGCACTTGGTCCTCCGAGCGCTAGAGATGGGCATGCGCAGAGCGGCGCTGGGGCGAAGAGCTCAGCTTCTGGCAGGCGGCTCGACACGGAACTGGGGAACTCCCGGTGCTGGTGGTGATCCCTCAGGAAAACAGGCTGCGGACACGGAGGGAGGAACTGCAGCTGCTTCGGGTGGAAGGGGCGACAAAGAGTGCACAAAGTTGTATTGTGCAGCAGCTCCCAAGGGAGAGTGGATATGCAGCTGATGGAGGGTGCACCAGCAACCCCAGAGGCTTATCCCTAGCCATGTGCTTCTGCTACCTGGAGCCTCTGAAGTAGATGTCTGAAGCGCAGCTGCCACATACACGTTTCCCCGACAAAGAGAAATGAGCAGCCAAGTGAGAGGAGCACAGCCGTATTAAGGGTAAGGCAGGAGACAGAGTACCAAACTATATTTACTGTATACAATAGTAAAGGACAACAAATAAATGTACAAATTGGTGAATAAACAGTGAGGTCTACAGGATGTCCCACCCCAGCCCATATACAAGAAAATGAAAAAGAAAATAAGGGCCTTTCCAGCAAGATTCCCAGCAAGCAGGAGATGATCCAACACAGCCAAACGGGTCAGGTGGATATAAAAGGCAGGTAATGATCCCATGGAGCAGCAGTGGACAACCTACAACCTGGACTTTGCAAAAACTCATCTGGAACTGGCTCCACACTCTGCATAGAGCTCAAACCCACCACACAAATGCATTTAAAATTCATCAAGTTTGGGGAGACATTATAACAGATGGTTATTTCAAACACCTGTACACACATTTCTCTCTTCTCTTCTTCACCAGGTTCTTGACAGCTCTTCTGCACATACAGCTTGGTGACACTGAAAGATGCTTCCTCCCCATTTAACAAGTTAATCTACCAAAAACAAGTATTAAAAAGAAACCTGAGGCCACATGCTTGCAGTACCCACTGAGAAATGAGAGCCATGCTGAAGGGAGCAGGAGGTGACAGGTTCTGCCCCACACTCAGTAAACCACTGACAATGCAGTGATGGGTTTCTTGTTTTTATAAACTTGCACAACAAAAAGTACGGCTGCTCTTATCAGAAGCATTAGTTTTTTGTCCTAGCTAACTCAGATTCTGACAATTATTCGGGACAAATCTCCTTCCTGCATTAAAAAAAGAGTATTTCAGATGACTTTATCATAAGACGACAAAGCACATGTAAATGCAGTATTTTAAACTCCAGCTCTATACTAGGCATTGTGTATCTGCATGTACCAGCCTTATGTTACAGCCTTAAAGCTTCTGAAGGAATGGTGTTTGAACACACTAAAAACCTTAAAACCAGCATCTCCTTTCCTTCTCTTTAGCGTATCTCAAAAGGAAACTTTTCCTCTCACCAGCGGTATGAACATATACTGAATTATTTACATGGTTAGAACTAAACAGAGGGGCAAGGCCGACAAGAGCAGGAATGAACACACCATGTCCTAACACATGGGTGAATATTTAGGCCACAGGTTTAAAGAAATTAAAAAAGAAAGAAGTAACAAAAAAGGTAACAGCAGACAGACAATGCATACTCCTTAATCTGGACTTAAATCAAATTGGCCCAATTGAAGGTACAGATTAATCCCTGCAGATACTGTTTTGACTTGCACACGCAGTACGTCAAAGACAACAAGCAATTTTGGTAAATGTCCTCTAAAGTTTCAAAGGATCTTGTGTGATTGGCATGTTCATTTGTTTACTATTTAATAGCAAATCCAAGGACAGATGAGAGAGTGGGGTGTGATGAGGATCCTTAAACTCCTCTTCTCCAAGGGATGGCATGTCTTAACACACTCCACCTGTCTGCTGCTGGAACACATCAATAGTGTCTTCATCTTCCATCTCCAGCTGTTTAGAGTAACATGGAAAATGCAAGGCTTTGAATACACGTGGTTACAAAAGCACTCAGCTCTCCACTCCCAACCAGTACCGATAACAGAGCGTTTGAGGTGCAGTTTTAATCTGCATGCAGCTATCAAAATATTTGTATAGCAATTTGCAGTAAAAGTATTTTTCATACCTGTGCAGGTGTGTCTGTTTCACTAATTGGCTGTCCATCAAATCTGAATCTAATCTGCCTCATCGACAAGCCCTGCAAGTTCAAAATAATTAATATGAATCCAAATAAAACATTTACAGATTTACTGTCAGAACAAATCTTAACAAAATTCAGACTCAAAGGAGTTAACCAGAGGGGAAACAGTGTATCTATGTTGCTAAGGAAATGGAGGAAGCAGAGCTGTTAAGAGTGATCTCCTGCTGTGCTGCTGTCACAGCAAGGGCTCTATATGGAACCACAGGTGTGGGTTTGGCACTTGGTTGTGATCCTGCTCTGCAAGGCACAAACAGCACAAGTTAATTTGCAAAGATAATTTAAGAACAGGTCAATCAATACACCATTGTGTAAAGCCTGAGAGGACAGGCCGGAAGGAGCAGCAATTGTTTCTCATGCAGTCAGAGATAATGTTAGACTAAGCTGACTCAAGGAAAACAATTTAAAACAATATGAAAAAATTACATTTTGGTGTAACTAGCTACCAGCACCAAGTACCCATAGTTAAGACAAGCTTTCATTCATGCCAAGAATCTGCTCCCAGTTCTAGTTCTTTATCTTCTTATGAGAAAAGGAACCACGAAGAAGGCCTAGGGAAAAAGAATTTGCAGGATCTGACACAGATTGTAACTCCCAGACGTTGAGATAAGAACAGTCCAGTAACTAAGGTATAACACAAACCACTGCTGCTACCACCAATAATAATAATGATAAGGGAAATAACAAGGGAAGAGAATACAACTGCTCACCACCTGCTGACCGATACCCAGCCTGACACGAGCAGTGACCTGGACCTTCTGGGTAACTGCCCCCAGTTTATATACTGGGCTTGATATGCTGTGGTATGGAATACCTTTTGGGCTAGTTTGGGTCAGGTGTCCTGTCTCTGCTTCCTCCTGGCTTCTTGTGCCCCTCCTCACTGGCAGAGCATTAGAGACTTAGAAAGTCCTTTGTCAGAGTAAACATTACTTAGCAACAACTAAAAACATCAGTGGGTTACCAACATTGTTTCCAGACTAAAGTAAAAAACACAGCACTGCACCAGCTACTAAGAAGAAGAAAATCACTGTTACAGCTGAACCCAGGAAAAGTTCCCATTCCCAAGAGACATTATGCTACATCAGGCATGGGACAGGGAAGAGTGTAAGGTTCAAGTAAGCAAAGCAAAGATCATGCTAGTAATGAACATGGGCAAGTACAGCAAACAGAACCCTGCTCTGCTTCCAAAAGGCATCTGCGTCTCCTCCCTCTGCTCTGCACCACTGCTTCCAGTCTATATCGAGTGCTACAGGGATAAACCCCTCTCCCGTTTAATACCTCAGGGTGGCACTGAGGAACAGCCTCCATCTGACATTAAGCACACGGCTGCCACCTGCAGAATACAGGAGTCCAAACTGTAGTGAGCAACAGGCCACACATGTGAGAGGAGAAAACAAAACCACAACAGGGGTCGTGGCACTGGGGAATTTCCTTCGTTCCATTTTCCAAACAGAAAACACAAAGTTGTATAGTTGATCAGGTTTTTGGAGATGATAGAACTGAGGGTTATAAGGCTGAAAATTCAGAGAACTGGCTTCAGAGCTAGGATCAGAACTCGTTGGCTAGCAATGCTGTCACAGGGCACTTTCAGCAGAAGAGGCAGTTTTCATTAAGCAAAGAAAAAAACTTTAACACTGACGCATCCCAAGTCCTCGCTCTCCTTCACACCCAGATACATTCACCCTGATGCACTGGTATTTTAGACAAGCAATGAAGCTTCTGCCGCCCCAAGGGCCGTCCCGCGGAAGGCGGTGGGGCGGGAGCAGCCCCGTGCCTACCTGCCGCTCGCAGTACGCCTTCATCAGCTTGCTCAGCGGGGTGTGCCGCTTGATTTTGAACTGCACGACGGAGCCATCCTGCCCCGCCACCTTCAGGTTGATGTGATCATTCTCTGTTTTCACGCCTTCCTGGAGGAAAAGCGTGAGGAAACAGCCGGGTCAGAGCGCGGCCGTGCTGCGGGCGAGCCCCGCCACCACCCCAAGCACGCTCCATGCCCGCTGCGGCCTGCAGGGGCCGGGCGGTCTCTCCCAGAGCGGCGGGGCTATGCGGGGCCGCCGCTTCCTCCTCCTCCTCCTCCTCCTCCTCCCGCTGCCCCCCCCCGGCAAGGCCCGGCCCGGCCCGGCCCACCCAGCCATCTTGGCCGCCGCACGCTGCCGGGCGGGGCGGGGCCCACCGGCAGCCCTGCCCCAGGGCCCGGCGGAGAGGCCTCGCTCTCCCTGTGTGCGTGCCCGTTCGGCGGGCCTCGCCTCCCCGCTGCCCGCCCGCCGCGCCTCACCTTGGGCTTCTCCTCCGACATGGTGGAAGGGCCGGGGCGAGGAGGGGAGAGGGGAGGGGAAGGGACAGCGCGCGCTGAGGGACGCGCCCGCGCGCTCGGCTCCCGCTTCAGCTCCCGCCGCCTCCTGCCGCCCGCGAGAGCGCGCGCCTTGGCCCCGCCCCGCGCCCTGCCGCCCCGCGCGCCCATTGGTCGTCCCCTCCTGGTCACGTGAGGGGCCGGCCAGTGGCAGCCGTGGGGGCCGCGCGCACCTCCCCGGGCGGCTCTGGAAAGTGCGTCACGGGGAACAGGAAGTGCCGGGGGCGGAGGGGCGGGGCACGGGCAAGCGGCGTTCCCGCCGAGCCGCACGGGGGCGCTGTGCGCCGCGAGTCACGCTGCCGCGCACGGAGGGGCGGGGGGTGCTGCGGTCCCCTGGAGGGATCCTCTGGAACGGAGCGCATCCAGCTGCGGGTGATGGTCCCCGGCAGTGCCAGCGCTGCCTCCCCTTGGGATCGCAGCCCCCGAACCTCTGTGTCAGCCGCTTGCCTCAGGCTGGCCTTCAGGAGAGCAGACACTGGCCGCTTCAGCCATCTGCTTGGCACAGTCCCAGGAAACGCTCCCTTTTCTGTTCTCCTCCTGAGGATGCATCCCTAGGAT